CAAGGGGAAGATTGGTGGGAGTTTTCTGAGCAGTTGGAGAAGCCAGGAGTGGACCCTAAGAGATGAGACCAGCGTGTGCGCGGCACTCTCCCTGAGCTGGCCCCAGCCTCCATTACTTCACCATCAAGTCGTCACAGCAGCCTTAAGAGGCTGGCATTGGGAGACCCTGATTTGGGGATGAGCTGACGTCACCCGCTAAAGTAACATGGGAGTGGGCTGTCTGGCTCCATAGCTGGTCAGCTCACCTCTGAGCTGGGCATGGCTGGAACCCCCTAAGAGGCTGGGCCCAGGGACCTGGGAGAGCACCCTGGCCTTTGAAGGAGACCCTGGGGCACCCCCTGCACCCCGCCCCCGCCCCCTGTCCGGCCACCTCACCTCAACGGAGATGTTGCAAAGCTTGGGAAAAAAAACCCCAAGTTTCTCAGTTCAGCCAAAATTCATTTTCTGATCCATTGGGGTAAGGACCATGGGCTGGTGGGGTATGAGCCGCTCCAAACCCCAGAGCTGTCTGTGCTTCCTTGCAAGCTGGGGGTACCCTGGGGTCCTATTTCCGGGTCCTGGGTGAAGTGGTAAGCTTGGCGGATTAGAGCCGACCCCGGAACCCAAAGTGAGCCCAAACACTGCAGCAAGTTTTACGTGTTGGCTTAATTTTTTTTTTGGTATTTGCCTCTTGACAGCAAGAGACCAATGAGGGTCCTCATGGACTGTCATGGTTTGGGTGAAAGCAGAGGGGACGAATTAGCACTGAGCCCTCTTATCTCGGTCCTTGTCCCTGAAGTGGCCGATCAATCTCGGAACAGGGTGGGGAGCAGAGGACGGGTGCTGTTAACCTTTGAGATGTCTGATGCAGAGGGAAGGACAGGATGAAGCAACCGTCGGTGGCGCCTGGGTCCCGAGGAGGGAGGACCCTGGACCTGCCTCTGGCGGGCGCGGCGTGGCGATGTTTGCATTCCGGGGTTGCCGGGTGCAGGCCTCCTGTGTCCACATTTCTGCCCTGCGTTTGGCCCAGACCGGCGTGGAGAGCCAGTGGGAGGCAGGCTTCCTTGCTCCCGACTTCTCTGTCCTTAGCCTTCTGCTTCGTGGGACCACCGGGCAGGGGACTCGCAGGCCGGCGGCACCAGTGGCCTTTGCCAGAGACATGTGCCTGCCAGGATGAGAGTGGGCTGAGACCCTCCTCCGTCTTCCACTCCAGCCCCTGGTGCCCGCACAGTCGGGCACCTTCAGTGGACACAGCTGCTGTCTGTGGCTCTGTCTGTCCTGGCTTCGTTTCCTAAGCTCGTCCCTGTCCTGAAAGGTTCCAGTCTCGGGGACCCCCTCCCCACCAGCAGGTCCTCTGTGTGTGTGGACACGTGCGTGCCGGTGTTCTCAGCATCCCATGGCTGTTTCAGCTTCGCAAGCTGGAGATGGGAAATGGTACCACTGCGGCACCGAACTTGCTCTTTCCTCCCTCCACCCATTTTTCTTCTTCCTCACCCCCTTCCACCTTCAAATTAAAAATTTAAAAAGGGGGAAATTCCATGATAACCTAAAATGTGGCCTTGAGGTCTGGTCACCCTCTGCCATTGAGACCCAGGGTGTGAGATTCATTCATGAGCCTCTGGTCTCCTGGAAGGGTCTGTTCATTCATGCCCAGGGTAATTAAATAACTCTTTGTAGGAGGCAGCGAGCTCCTTGCTAAGTGGTCTTCCCCGGTGCAAACACAGGCCGAAATCCTCTCCCTTCTCAACACCCTCCCCCCTTTGCTTTTAAAGCGAAGATTTTATGCTTTAAGGGAAATGGGGAAGGGGAGGGGGGAGGAAAAACACCTTAAAGGAATTTTAGGCAGATTCAGCATTTTTCTGGTATTGCTCCAAAAATTCCCTGCACTGTAATAAAAAGAAAAAATTGTGAGCAGGCATCTGATTAGTGAGCTTTTTACAACACAGCTTTTCTTCTTGGATGCTTTAAAACGAACACATACAGTTTTAAAACAAGCCCCTGTACAGTTTTCTGGGGCGGGGGAGAAGTCGAAAGTACTGGAAAAGGTTACAAAGCCTTGAGGGAAATTAACAGGGGACTGAGAGTTTTGCCTTTGGAGGTCAAGTGTCAGCGGCAGTGATAAGAAGCCAACGTGGCCAGTTGCGCCTCCTCAGTCCCTCAGTCCTTGCAGCGACCGGGATGTCTCAGCCCCTCACCACATGCCTGGGAAGCCCCCCGGAGCAGAGCGTCCACACAGGCCTTTGTGGGGAGACTGTGGGCTGTGGGCCCGGTTCACGGAACTGGGTTTCTCTGAAGATGATGCTGAATGTTTCCCAGAAATGAGCCCAAATGGCGGGGAATTGAGGTCACAGCGGGGAATCTCTGTGCTGGCCGTGTGGGACGTTATGCTGGGTCCCCCGAAGGCGTGACGTAAACACTAAGGTGTGTGTGACCGGGGCCTTCAGCGCTGCTGCACGGGATTTCTGGGGTGCTCGGGAAGAGCCCAGGCAGGAGCGAGGGGAGTGGAGCTGCTCTGTGGGGTGGGGAGCTGGGGGCGGCACGGGCCAGAGGAGCAGCAGGCAGGGTCTTCCTAAGTGGACTTCACGGGCCCTGTTCACACACAGGGACACCCACACACGGCGGCTTTTTCCAGGGGGTGTCTGGCAGCAAATTGCCGGGAGACCTGTGGGCTGCACAGATGAAAGGGAAACCTGCCTGGCGCTACCCCCCACCCCCCACTTGGGCCCAGCCCCCACCCAGCTTCCACTGTCCCCAGGGGTCTTCCTTGGCAGGCAAGGCCCCCACCCCTTGCCAGGCCTGGCACGGAGGTGGGGGGGGGGCAACTCGATCCCAGTCCCCCACCCCACCCCACCCGCACCCTCTCCTCCTCCCTGCACGCGGTGCCGGGTTTCAGAGGGGCCGGGCTGCATGAAACAAAGTATTGTGAGGCTCTGCCGAGGGTCTCCTGAGCCTCCCTCCCAGCGATTCTCCTTGCCAGGCCAGGTTTGCTATCCTGAGTTGAGAGCTTCTTGTATTTCAAAACACCCTCCTTGCCCCAAAAGGGCAGATGCCGTGTGCCTCCGGAAGAGGGCTTTCTCCTTCCCGGCACACTTGCACACTAGAGCGTCACCCCCCCCCCAACGTCTTTGGTGTGTCGCCTTCAGAGCTGAACTCTGGGCAGGAAAGTTCAAAGATTGCCAGCGCTCATGCGTTTATTAGCAGTTGATGGATACTTTGCAGAAACAAGTTAATGCCTGATGAGTCACCTTCTGCTCAGAGCCCTCGTCCCTCTCTTGTTTTCCATATGTTCCAGCGCGTGTGCACTAACACACACTCGCACAACACGCGCGTATACACGTACTGACATGGAGGACTCACAGCGGACTTCATAGTTTGGGGAGGGGTGGTTTCTGGTGGTTCGGCGAGGGAAAGGAAGGCGCCCTCCGCATCCCCATCTTGTGCAGGCGTGTGGGCAGGCCAGGCCAGTGGGGTGTCTGCGGGGAGCGGCGCTCAGGGTGTGTGTTGGTGGCTGCCGTGGCAGGTCGCAGTGTGCACATTCGTACAGACTTACTGTGCGCGGGCACCTCCGTCCGAGGCAGGCTGCCGGCCGGTTCCCAGGCCCTGACGCACCTGTGGAAGGTGGGATGAGTTGCTGGGCTGCACTGGTTACCCCACTGGGGCAGCAGGACACCAGGGGCCCCCCCAAGTCCCCTGCCCCCGGGACGGGGCAGCCCATCCTTATCGACTCTCTGAGCCCAGTTGCTCCAAAAACACAAAGGCCAAACTGAAATACTTCTCACACTCACCCCCACCTTCGTGCCCCAGCCCCCCCAGAGTGAGAAGCTGGGCCTCAGGGAGGGAGGGGAAGGCCGCTGGCTGATCTGGGGCTCTTCCCCTCTGCTTTTGCCCTCGCCTTTCCCCGTTTTTGTTAACAAATACAAGACTTCCGGTCTCCACCCTGCCGCCACAAACCACAGCGTTCCTGCAGTCTGGCTGGGCTGGGGAGATTTATGGCCCCAGTCTGAGGCCTGCCCACTGGCTCCAGCTTAAGGAGGAGTCGGAATGCCAGCCGCCGGGGCTCCCTTCTCCTCCGTGGGATCCCCTTATTTAGGGAAATCACCTTACCAGAGTCACCCCAATGTCCCGGGCTGCCTGCGGGAAGAGCCACGGTGTAGGAAAGTAGGGTGGGACATGCAGGGCAAGGGGGAGGGCAGGGCTCCAGATGCTTCTGTGGAAGGAAGGGGGAGAGGGGGTCACTGATGGGGTTGGGGGTGCTGACAGAGAAGGGGGCCAGAGCGTCAAGGGTGGTCATGTCCATTCTAGACACATAATCTTCTGTCCAGGCTGCAGGGAGCTTTGTTAAGGTAGTCTGGGCTAATACCGATCTGCGTGTTGGGATTTGGCATTGGACATGAATTCACCCTTTGTGTACAGAGCTGCTGCTGACACACAGAGTTGTTTTTCTATTAGGAAGATAGATGTTTTTGTCCCAAACCACCCTCCTTTTGATTTTTACCACATAGAGGTCCCTTATGACCAAGGCACTAATTTGGGAGCTGGATGACGAGCACCCGGGGACCGTCGAGTAGGTGGTCCTGGAGTCTGGACACCCTGGTGCGTCCTTACCTGGCACCTGAACAACAGCTTTCTGGGTCCTGGTTTTTTCGTCAGATTGTCAAGGGGCTGGAGGGGCGGTTCCATCCAGTTGAAAGATCTAGACCACTGTCGAGGCCATTTCTAGCCCTAAAACTGAGACCAGCCAAGTTACTGAGGGTCCCCTGGTGCTCTGCAGGGATGGGGCTTCTTTGGCCAGGTGGGCACAGGTGCTGGCATACTGGATTCCCTACAGGGTGGACGGTGCATCTGCTGGGAGTCCCATGCATCACCCCTGTTCCGCACTGGGAGATGACCCTGGTTACGGGTGTGTGTTTTGGAGTCAGACGCGCTGTCATTCGGCTACGAGGTCCTTGGGGGGTGTGTGTCTCGATTCCAGGAATCTCCATTCCATCCCCACCAACCGTGTCTGCCATTTTGTTTTCCAGATTCCCAACTTCTTCTGGAGCCTGGGGATCGGTCACACTGGTGCGTGGTGGCATACTGGGAGGAGAAGACGAGAGTGGGGAGGCTCTACTGTGTCCAGGAGCCCTCCCTGGATATCTTCTATGATCTACCTCAGGGGAATGGCTTTTGCCTTGGACAGCTCAATTCGGACAACAAGAGTCAGCTGGTGCAGAAAGTGCGGAGCAAGATCGGCTGTGGCATCCAGCTGACGCGGGAGGTGGACGGGGTGTGGGTGTACAACCGCAGCAGTTACCCCATCTTCATCAAGTCCGCCACACTGGACAACCCGGACTCCAGGACGCTGTTGGTACACAAGGTGTTCCCCGGTTTCTCCATCAAGGCTTTCGACTACGAGAAGGCGTACAGCCTGCAGCGGCCCAACGACCACGAGTTCATGCAGCAGCCGTGGACTGGCTTCACCGTGCAGATCAGCTTCGTGAAGGGCTGGGGCCAGTGCTACACCCGCCAGTTCATCAGCAGCTGCCCGTGCTGGCTGGAGGTCATCTTCAACAGCCGGTAGCCGCGTGGGGAGAGGACAGAGCGTGAGCCGAGCAGGCCACCATTCAAACTACTTTGCTGCTAATATTTTCCTCCTGAGTGCTTGCTTTTCATGCAAACTCTTTGGTCGTTTTTTTGTTGTTGTTTGTTTTGTTTTTTTCTTCTCGCCGTTCTTGTTTGTGTTCCGTTTTGTTTTGTTCTTTGAGAAATAGCTTATGAAATGAATTGTTGGGGTTTTTTGCCGGGGGTGGGTGGGTGGTAGGTGTGGTTGGCAGGACACCCCATAGGAAAAGGAGAAACAAAAAAATCAGAGCAGCACCAAACACAATGTGTGAATGGGAGCAGTCCCTGAACTTTTGGGTCATCATTTCACTTGTCAGGAGCGTGCGTGCGTGCGTGTGTGTGTGTGTGTGTGTGTGTGTGTGAGAGTGTGCACGCGTGTGCATGAACGACAGATGGGACAGACGATGAACTCTTTGTGTTTCTTACGGATGTCCCCGACTGAGAGGTTTGTGGTCCCACGCTGTGTCTCTCTTGCCCTTTGGACATGCTCAGTGGGGCAGAGGCAGTACCTGGGCAAGCTGGCCACGGGGGTCCCAGCAGCTGCCAGAAACACGGCTCTGCCCCCAGCCTGGGGAAGCCCCCCGCCCCGCCGCTCCCCTCCCAGGACACGGGCCTATCCACAGGCTTCTGAGCAGCAAGCCTGCTAGCAGCTGAAGCAGAACCAATCGTTCTCATCCTCGTCTTACTCCCCGCCTGCCACCCCACCCCCCCCCGCCATTGTAGCGTGTTTCTTTTTTGGCCATCTGCTCCTGGATCTCTCTGAGATGGGCTTCCCGAGGGCTGCCGGGGCAGCCCCGGCACAGTATTGCTCACCCGGTGTCCTTTCAGGCCCTCAGCCTCTCCCCTGCCCCGGTTACATCAGGTTTTTCCCGTACTTAGAAAACCAGCTCAGCACTTCCCCCCCTCCCAGCCTGCGTGTTGAGCTCTGCCATCAGACCAGCAGCGGGGCCACCTCTGGGAGGGACATGCTTCGCAGTCCCCTTCCCTCCAAGAAGGATTTGGTCTGTCATAACCCAAGGTACCATCCTAGGCTGACACCTAACTCTTCTTTCATTTCTTCTACAACTCATACACTCGTATGATACTTAGACACTGTTCTTAGCTCAATGAGCATGTTTAGACTTTAACATAAGCTATTTTTCTAACTACAAAGGTTTAAATGAACAAGAGAAGCATTCTCATTGGAAATTTAGCATTGTAGTACTTTGAGAGAGAAAGGACTCCTGAAAAAAAAAACCTGAGATTTATTAAAGAAAAATGTATTTTATGTTATATATAAATATATTATTACTTGTAAATATAAAGACGTTTTATAAGCATCATTATTTATGTATTGTGCAATGTGTATAAACAAGAAAAATAAAGAAAAGATGCACTTTGCTTTAATATAAATGCAAATAACAAAATGCCAAATTAAAAAAGATAAACACAAGATTGGTGTTTTTTTCTATGGGTGTTATCACCTAGCTGAATGTTTTTCTAAAGGAGTTTATGTTCCATTAAACGATTTTTAAAATGTATACTTGATTCCATGTTGTCCTCTAGCTCCTTATTCTGCTGCTTGGAGGGGAGTGGGAGGAGTGTTTATCTGAACTCAAGTAGAGCTGGAGTCTTCCCAGCCCAGTGCTTGGTTGGGGAGGAGGGGGACCCAGGCCACAAAAGGGTGACACAGTACAGTCCTGGTCTTCAGGCAGCTGCTCTTTGTGATTCTGGAAAGACCTGTGGCTACCCAGACACCCCCGCTTGCTAGCCTGTTACCCTAGGGTGTAGCTGTCAGTGTCCTACATTTGCAACGGGGAGCAACCTACAGGAGCCCCGAGGGTGATAATTCAAAGCTTGTAGAACTGAGGAAAGGGAATTTCATCTAGGGTGATTGGGAAGGAAATGGGATTAGGGGACAGATGAAAAAATACAGCCCAACGAACCTGGGTCCATCTGTTTCTTGCTAACTCCTTGATTGGCATTAAATCCTGAACCTATTGCACCTCTCTCACGACAGACTGGATTCCAGGAGAGGATCCCTGGGGACTGAGGTCCTGGAGGAGTGATGAGGGAAGGGGTTGAATGTCAGTGGTATTCTGAGGGATGAAGCCACCCCTTGGTCCCTCCCAAGGACCATACTGGCCATTCAGAGAGCTAATAAACCAGAGAGGTCACGGAGTCAAAGTCCTACTCGAGTCAAAGTCCTACTCGGCAGCCTCCTTCCTTGTCTGCTGGAATTCTGCAGTGGCAGTTCCTTTACTAGTCCCCTTCCCCAGCCCTGCCCAGGTGGCACTTGCTGTCAATGTGCCTCTTTGGTGCTGTCCCTGCATCATCAACCTGGGGTTTCTGTGGATTGATCTGAACCACATTTTAGATTGAGGGCATCTTGCACAAGAAATGGGTCCAACTTGGGCACCAGAGGGCTGTGCAGGTGTCTATTTCAGGGGGGTTTTTGAATTTTGGGCTCCTTTTGAAGTGGGGGGGCAAGATTTTGGATATCAACCCTGTACAATTTCAGAAAAAACTCTTTGGAGGGCCAACGTCGGACTGCCAACTTTTTATTTTGCCAAGTGGCACACAGCACTTCAGCCTACTGGCACCACTGATTCATTAAAAGGAATGACAATACAACCGCGTAGCAAGAAATAATAATACGTGTTGATTTATGCTCCACAGCATTAATGCCAAGTGGTCATCTGGGCCAGCTTGTTCACATGAAGTGATGGGGAGCTCACCACTTCTCTAAGCAGCTTTTTGCTTTTTATCAGTTGAAATGAAACCCGCCTCCACGTAGTCTAGTTCTGTAACCCAGAATAAGTGTAAAATCCCATCTCTGGAAAACACCCAAGGAGGGTTCTAATTAACTCCAGGGTGGTAGTGGCGGAGGAGGGTGGGGAGGGGAGGTGTTAACATTAGGGAGCTGTCAAAGTCATTTTACTTTGCTCTAGCTTGCATTGGCATGCCAGGAAGCTCTTTAAGAATAATAATAGCTACCATTTACTGAATGCTTCCCTAGGTGCCAGGCACGATGTCTAGGCATTTGAGGGAATTAGCATTTAATCCTCACCGGGACCCTTTGCAAAAATGGAAGCTTTGAGAGGTTAAATGACTGGCCCAAGGTCACGAAGTAAGAGGTTGGCGAGATCAGGGTCTCGCTCTGGGTTGAGTGGTTCTTACTCCTTGGTCCATGCCCCGTAGAGATGTTTGTGTGATAGAATCCCATGTGGGCCACCACGATTCCCCCTGGCCCTGCAGCTTAAGCAAGGCCTCTGGATTTGGAGGCAAAAGCTGTGGCCTCTGGCAGAAAGAGGCTGGCGTTGGGGCGTGGGGCTGTGGATTCCGGCGGGGTGGCTGGCTCTGGGTGAGTGGGGAGAGAGGAGTGCTCAGAAGAAGTCTGGCATCTGCTGGTAACTGACATTTCCGTCTCCTTGCCAGACAGCTCGTCACCTACAGCCACCACTTGTGCACCTGTGATGTGCCCAGGCCTGGACCGCAGGTGGCCTGGAGGAAACACGCACCCAGTCCGTGCCTTCGAGTGACGCTGGAGGACAAGATGCCCACACTGAGATGCCGGTACCACGAGCACTCAGGACGAGGCTTGGTGCTTGCAGAGGAGGTGGGACTTTCAGCGTAGGTGGCATTTATACCGAGGAGGTGGGAAGGTGGGGGAGAAGGTGTCCCATTGATAGGAAGTGTTCCTGCCTCCTGCTTCCCCTGTTTCCTTACTGCCTCAGTTCACCCCTCAAATGTCAGGGCATCCTATCGAATTCTATCTTGGACTGACTTCTCAGGCCACGTCCTCTCCCTGGGCAGCAGCATCACTCTGGTGGCCACATCTCTCTTCCCCTGTGGATGCCTCGGTCGCCCCAACCAGAAACCTGGATCGTCCCATCTCCCTTGGCCCCCTCCCCCAACACGTAATAATAAACCAAATCCCATCCACCCTGCCTCATCCGATCAATAATGACAAAATGCAAATATCTGCACATAGGTTCTTTTTCTCTACCCTCACTGGTATGACTTGGTTCAGGGCCTGCTAGCCTCTCTTGGGTCTTCCTCCCTCCAGTTTGGGGGCCCCTTCAGCAGCCGCCTCTGCCAGCCTCCCCCTGAGCCCCGACCCTGCACACGAAGAGACCGTGTGTTCCAGGCACGCAGGGCAACACGCAGTGCCGCGGACACGCCTTGCTTATACGCTCCCGTGGCAAGTGCTGTCCACCCACCTCAACTGGCCGTCTCCTCCTTGTAGCAGGATGCAATGCAGGCCACACCTCCTCCAGGAAGCCTCCCTGCTTTTAAAAATTTCTCCCCTAAAGTGAGATCGGTGGTGTAGGATTCTGTGTCTCCTACTGTACCACAAAGTCTTGGCACCCTGGGGTCCTAGCTGGAGCCTCAGTTAGGACCCCCTGCCCTACCAATTCCTGGCATGGTGCGCAGACAGGTCTGGTTCTATCAGTGAGTGAGCGAGAGGCAGCTTGGTGGGCTTCGCTTGAGCTGGGCCCATAATAATAATAATTAATAACAACAGAGCCAACGCTGACTGCTCTGACTCTGTGCTAGGCAGTTCCAATCACTTTACACTGGGATTGTCCCATATAATCCTTACAACCACCCCACAAGCAGATATCATTATTATCACCCCATGCTACAGAGAAGAAACAGTTCAAAGGATTGCCCACAGTCAGATTTCATCACCTCTGTGCTATCTAATCTCTCTGGGCAGGCCCGGGTCAAGAGGTGACTGGGTGGGGTGTATGTGTTTGCTAAAACAAGCTCTGGCTTGGAAGGGCCAAGCTGATCTGACTGCCGAGCACTAGAAACAACACCTGACATGTGTACGTGTCTATGCACACCGAGAGCCTGGCCCGGGTCATGCCACCCGTGTCCCACGCTGCAGAGGACGTGGTCAACCTTCCCTGCCTGGGGCCATGTGCCCAGGACCACCCACACACAGCCTCTGATGCAGGCTGGATTTGCACCCAAGACTTTAGCAAATGGCGACTTCCTGATGGGTCCTTTAAGCCCCAACACTCAGCCTGCAGAGGACTGTTTGTCAGTCTGTGTGCTCTCGGTGCACCCTCAGTGTGCTCCCGATTGTCACTGAGGGTGTGCTGGGGGCAGGTGGTGGTGGGGTCTGATGCACTCAGAAGCAGGGACGTGGTTCACAGTCATGGGTCTGGGAATCAGAAAGACCTGGGTTTGAGTACTCACTCAGGTTAGTGACAGCCTTTCTGAACCTCAGTTTCTGAAACATAAACAGGGCATTATACCTGCCTTATGGGGGCAAGATGGGGAATAGTGAGAAAATACATGCATAGAGCTGGCCATATGATAATTAGATTGAACCACGTGGGATTGCACATATCTGACCATGTTGATCTGCAAAAATGGCACTTCCATGTAGCTTTGCTTTTCTTTTGAGACAGAGTCTCACTCTGTTACCCCTGCTAGAGTGAAGTGGCATCATCGTAGCTCACAGCAACCTCAAAGTCCTAGGCTCAAGTGATCCTCCTGCCTCAGCCTCCCAAGTAGCTGGGACTACAGGCACTCGCCACTATGCCCGGCTAATTTTGCTATTTTTATAGATATAGGGCCTCACTCTTGCTCAGGCTGGTCTTGAACTCCTGGCCTCCAGCGATCCTCCTGCCTGGGCCTCCCAAAGTGCTAGGATTATAGGTATGAGCCTCCATGCCAGCCTAATATCATATAGTTTTATCAAGGGTCCCCAACATTTTCCCCCAGAGCTGCAGGCGAGGTGATGGAGCCCTCTGGGTGGCATGTCGTGCAGTAAGGGGGGGCTGAGAAAAGGCAGTCAAGTCAGTCCATGGATGGTGGGAGGTGGCCAGTATTGGGACACCCCTTTCTTGCTCAGAATGCCAGCAGACCGCTGAGCCCACACCAGGGCAGGAAGCAAAGGCCGTCAGCAGCCAGACTGGAGGGCTGGGGTGCCCTGGCCTCGGGAGGAGGGTGTGTGGGCCCAGGCCACTGCCTTTCTCTGTGGAGCCGGAGCCGGGAGGAGCCTGTAAAGTCCCTGGTTTCCTGGCGGCTCCGGAGCAAGAGGCCCGAACTGCCAGCTCAGCAGTTTTTCCCTAGCCAGAAGCGCCCCTCTCTCTTTCTGAAAGTAATGATTTTCTAAAAATGGATTCCCTCCCCTCCCCCAGCTGCAATTAATCTACTGAGCACAAAGTGGCCGTTGGAGGAGGCCCCTGGTGAGTTGAGACCAGTGCAAGGGCTTTGATTAATTCAGAGACGATTTACTGGCTGGGCTGGGGCCGAGGGGCTGGGCAGGGAGGCACTGCCCAGGTGGGGGCCAGGGTGGCCCATGGTGGGGCCCGTTTAGTGGCTATTGGAGCCACAGAGACCTAGGAGGGCTGGGAGCCTACACCTGCCTTCCTGGGAATTTGAGAGGCAAGGTCTGAGACCCCAGGTCCGGGGGCCTGCCAGGGACGTGTGTGCCTCGAGCCAGAGGAAGCTGATGTTCATCCTGGGACATCTTCCTGGAGCTGCCGTTTCAGTGGAAGTGTCACTTGAGAGATCGAATGCAATTG